CACATTCATTCGAAAACTGTCGGTGCCAAGTAAGATTAAAATGCGGGGTCGAACCAAGGCTGGGCGACGAGGTTTTATCACCCATGCCCCAACCATTAATCCACTCAGCTATTATATATGGGTCTCATCAAGTGTGCGTAGAGCTAAGTGACACTCCAAGACTCCCCAAGTGACTGAAAGTCAAGATTTCAAAGAAAAGCGATGAGCAAATTAACGTATTCGGCAACAGTAACTGTGTCTGCGGTATGCACAGTAGATATTTGCTGCGGCCATTAGTTGCCCTTAAAGGCATAAGCTGGCAAAATAAATGTACTCAAAACTTAAATTACTCCAAGTCAGGTCGACTGCCTCAGTCTGTTCAGCCTCCGAATTCCTTTCAAATTTCCTAGGCCGAGGGCTCAATCAGGCGAAATCATGGTTTTTTTCGAGGTGACGTCACGCCCATCCCGCTGAGTTTGACACATCTTACGCACGAAACTGAGAGTTCCCTTACAATTGAACACCTCATGAGGCCGTTCAAATTTTGCCAAAAGACCTATCTCACCTTTGCAGGAGAAACCTATGCGCAGATTAAGGGAACTCCAATGGGCGCCCTATTCCTTGGTCTAGTAATATAATTTGCCCTACAACAGCTGAAAGCATTGTCTTCACCTAACAACCCCTGATCCGTTATACGGCCAATACGTTTTAGTTATCAATAGAAACGTGCTGTCGAATTTCTATAATTCTGTCAACTCACTTTTCACGGCGGAAAAAATAAAAAAACACCCACTGCCTTTCGTCGATGTGCTCATCTGGGGAGGATCCCAAGACGAAATAAAAACAAGCATCTATAGGAAGGCGACAAACACCACACAGCTTCTACATTTTTACAGCAACCATCTGGTGGCTTAAAAATGAAGCTGCATGAGAACGCTTTTCAAAATAATCCAGACTCATTGCAATAACCCGAAAGAAGAAGCAAGTGAGGTCCGATATCTCCGCGACCAGTTTATGGGGAAGGGCTATCCGAAGGCCTTTATAAGCTGATACCAATGTGCTCGTTCTCCAAGGACTTAACCAGAACCAGCCGGTACGATATGGCATGCGCTACTACACATAAAGGACGTGTCTGAATCGACCTAGCCCATGGGAGTGGGGCTAGGCCTTGCACACAGGCCCAAGACTACCATGCGCAGCCGAGTCATTAAAATCAAGGACCGAGTAAATCCTAGTGAGCAATCAGGTGTAGTGTATCGCATATCGTACATAAAATATCCTACAAATTACACAGGTCAGACTGGACATCGAACATAAACGAATATAGGCTGGCAGTGAAACAGGATGACGGATTATTACAAGTGGCCGCCCACACGAGTTTAACCGAACAGTCACGGGGATAATCACCCACGCCAGAAGCTAGCTAACCCGCGAATTGCTGGAAGTCTGAGAATCCAATGAGAACTCAATTAATCACTATATCGATTTGGCGCTAGCATACAGAGCCCTGTGCAGTCACCTCCAGATTGGCATTACTGATAACTGATTGGCCGATATTTCCTGTATCTGTTTTTTGTTGTTTTGTTCCCGCTTTTATCTCTGACGCTGGACTCCCCTAGAAAGCCCAGATTAATAAAGAAATGATGCCAGCGGTCAAAGCGATTTTACTTTTTTATTAAGTATATGTCATAAAACACCACTGACAGTTTACTTTCATATCAATTACCGTAAGCCACGCACAATTCTTTTTTTGTAAGAAAACTCTTGGTAACCACAAGTAGAAGAAACTAGTTATGGTCCCAAGCTAAGCCTGGACGATGCTGCAAAACAATATTTGTTAATTGAAGACAGCTGGTCAGCCTTCATTTACATACAACTGTAGGCCTTGCTTAACCTTTGCGCACTTAAGAAATCGAAAGTCACAGCAAATATTGAAACACTTATCAAAACAGCAGAAGTTCCCTTATGTTATTTAACTTGTTTCGGCATGAGAGGTATGAAATGTAACAGTCAAAGTACCTTAGGAGATGGGCGGTTTTTTAACAGTTCGATCCGATTCGTGCAGAGTTTGCTAATGAATTGCAGGCTGCTCAGCTGGGCCTTGATCATTGCGTCTAGACCAAGAAAAATAATTATCAGGAATAAATAATTTGTGCTCTGACGCAAAGCAGACACGTCTTATGTGTTCACAGTTCCGCTTAGGCCTTGGAACAACTAATGTGGCTACCTGGTGGCCAAGACACTATCGGTAACGAAAATGCATAATGCCGTAATAATTAAAGGCATATTCAATTAAGGAACGTACCGTCTTCACCGCCAGAATCATGTCCTCTTAGTCGGTCAGAGAATTTTACGACGCTGTCCAAGACGGCTTCCAACTCAGGGGCATTGCGCGACATCCGCAGCGAGTGTATGAAGTAAGGACTGGTGCAGGCTGACTCATTGCACTGTAAGGAAAAGCTAGTAACTGTAGCTGTTTCGAAGTGGCAAAAGCGTGCATTTTAAAGTTCTTGGGTCGGAGGATGTGTATCTGAGGTCAGTGCTCAGCGGTTATATAAAATGCAGGCGATGTATTTATTTGGGTAAATCTATGTATACTAACCGTTGTCAGTAAATGTAATTTGTTTTTTAAATACACCAAAGGAGGAGGAGGAGGAAGGAGTCTCACATTTTGTTGGATGACCGCAAAATATTAAGTTGCTACTATAATATTATGTGAAATTTTACTGCGAAAAAGTTTTTCGATTATTTTAAGACAATTCTTGAATTTGCGCCCTAGGAATATCAGAATCTCGGTGAGGAGATAGTTAGTATTAGCAAATACAGGAAACTGTGGGCTGTGGGCGTCAATTCTAGCTAAAGGGATAACTTGGCTTAAGGGCACTGACAGTCACATAGATAAAAAGCTGCAGTTGTCGGTGTTCAAAGATCACTTCGCTGTAGGGCAGCGATAGACACAGAAAATAAGGGTGCATCAAGCAGCGTTCAGTGCCAGGTGAAATTACTTTGCTCAAATGGCGGGTCATTGGGCTGGCGGTATTATTTTTGGTAAGTTGGGATACCAAACATATTTACAGTAAGTCAAACGATGAGGATGAAAATTGTAACGTATAGCTCAACGAAAAAAGCAAAGGTGGCAAATTTAACATACCAGATTAACAACAAATATATTTGAAATAAGTCAAACGCTGACGATAACGCGTAGTGCGACGGAAAGAAAAAACGAAAAAGTGGCAAATTTAACGTACCAGATTAATAATTGTGCGATTTACGAAGTCAGGATCTGCGAGGACATTAACGGCTGGCAGCAAAATTCCATTGACAATGACATCCTGGGGGTGGAATTGTGAAAAAAAACGAAAAATTACTCTTAAGAGGAGCCGATACGCTGGGACTGCGAAGTCGTCACTGGGCATCGTGGCGTAAAGGATAACTTCAGTAATGCGCTTCAAGTGGTCTTAAGGAAAAGTTATAGAAAGCCTCCAGCGTACTTAGTTCGTCTTCGGAACGTGTGCATATACTCTCCCGACAAAAGTGTTCCTCTTTTTCGGCTTCGATATCAAAAAAGACTTTGTAGTGACCGTGACCGCTCTGTCTTGAGGCGTGCAGCCTTTCCAAAGTTTTTCTGTAAATCCGTAAATGATCGATCACCGTGTTCGGAACGCCGTCTATCAGAAAAGGGATCCAATTGATGGCTTGGAACCTAGGAAATAAGTAAGACTAGCATAAAATACTTTTTTGAAACTTCCGACAGGAGATTGGCGAGTCCGAAGTGAACGTTTTGCAGGAATTCAGGCTCATTCGTTAACGGACCGTACCAACTTTTAACATAGTCCTGCATCACATGGTCCAGAATCTGAGAAGGCATCATGCGTAATGAAGAAATTATACCTGGTCAATAACTAGATCAAGTTCGTTGCATCCAGAAACGGAATAGGTCACCTTCTTCAAATTTGTTGTCACGGCGGTCTCATCAATCTAGAAGAAGTTAGGAGCATAAACGTCAAGATTTCTACTTTTATTAGTCCACGTGATAAGCAGTTATATGCCTTTCGAGACTTCCACCGAGCGTCTGGGAGAAAAAGCATAAAGCTAACTGTAAAAGAAAAAGTTATGTTCATACCCAGCAGCAAATGAAAGGAGGGCAAGTGACAAATATATAAATGGTAGTATCCCGTAATAAAAGCATGATGCAATTAAAGCAAGTAAGAGCAGTTGCTTCAAGTTCATTGCCCCAGAACTATTTAGTTAATATTGGCCCAAGCAAAGCGGTGAAGTGGTTGTTTGCCGGAATTACAGCGCAAATCTACAGTGGAAACAAAGAGGGTGATTTCAGAAAACAAGAAATCACC